ACATAAAATAAAAAAAATCAACAGAACTAGATTTAAAATTATGAAAAATCAGTATTTTAAACAATAATAAAATCCCTGGAAGTCTTTGGGAATTAGACTCTGCTCAGTCTTGCAAATACTGGTATTTATGGTTTTTAATCTATTGTGGGCATTAGTATAGCTGTTTGCTACAATTATGCACAAGATTTGTGGTATAATTAAAACGGTGGGCATGGACAGACTACATAGCTGAAGAATACTACAAAATTAGTGAGTCTCGGTGTTTATTTTTATTTAAAAACGCTAAGGTTTACAACGATGAAAATGCTGCTCATTATTTAATAATAAGAGGCACATGCAAGAGCAAAAAAATTAATAACCCGTTTTATGGATTTTTAGATTCTAAACCTTTTCTTGTAATCTTATGTGTTAGATGCAAAGGCCAAGCGTGTAAGAATTGGTCAAAAGCTCTTGGATGGAATAATTGGCTGAAAAGTGAGCTGCAAACATTGCATACTGGTCGTATAACTCCAAACAAGCCTTCTGCACCTGAAATTAATAACAGGAAGCATATGTAAAAAAAATATATAAAAACGATCGTACAAGTGGTCACATCTTTCTTTATGCATTGGGTATTCATTTTAACAATTTAACTTTATTATTATATCAACAACTAATTGATGACCAGAGTACGATATTGCTCGAGTTGTGGTTGAAAAATTGGATTAGGATGGGAGCTCCAAAACCCGACAAAGTAACCTGCGATTATTCTTTAGCTTTAATCTTGGCCTTTAATGAGTAAGTTATAAAAATATACATCGAAACATTTATTTTAACGCAACTGGCGATACAACAATGAGCATGCGTCCAGCAATTGCAACTTGCGTTAAAGTTGTTGCCCGTTTCATTAAAATGACCGCTAACTGGTTCTCTATCAGTACAAAACGGAAAAATAAGACAATTTTACTTATTCTGCTTGTTAATCGATTCACAGACATTAAAGGATTTTAAAATATTATTAAAAATGTTTGTTAAATTTGTTTGTGTCTGTTTTAACCAATACAAAGACTCGATTTTTCGGAACAGGAAATATTTACTGATACTGATATTTAATTTAGTTTTAGGAAAAAGAAGGTTTATTGGAAATATATCGAGAAAAGTTTTTTGTGGATATGAGGATGTCGTCGAATCCAAATTTGAAATTTTTTGTAGAAGATTGAAATGATCAATTAAGGTGTATTTAATACTAATATACAATAAAAACCGAAGATCACCCATCACCAGCAATACAGGATAGTTTGAATTAAGATTTCCGAATCATTAACTAATAATTCTTGTACCGGCATGTAGGTAGTATTTTGGGTATTTACTAATTTATTACAATTCAATAGATCTCTATATCTCAAAAGAATCTTATACCCATTTCTGGGTTTTACTTTATCTGTTTAATCAATTTTCATATTACTCAAATCATATTAATAAACACAGACATGTAAAACATAGACATAATTACTGTAATTGTTATATTTATCTTTATAAGAAAGCACCCTAATATGGGCTTTTGAAATTTCAGCATTGAAATCACTTGTTACCGTTTCTCTGAAGATGCTTAGCAAAGTGTAGTAAGCGAAACTGGCCGTTTTGGTGATAATGGTTCTATATATCGTTAGTTAGGAGTGTTAACCTGTTAACTCCAGAATGGTAAAGTTTTCAGGAGACAAAAAAACTTGTTAGTTTATCCAAAACTAATGTTGACGAAATTTTTTGTCACAACTATTTATTAACTATAGTATAGGAGTTATTTAACTACTTTTCTTCAAATAATGTTCGTACATTTAGTTTACGGAACTAAAAAATGGAGTTGGCACATTTTCTAAAATATATCGCACCTCGTTGCAATACCGCCATAAGTAAAAATTAGTAAATTTTACAGGAGAGCATTTTAAAGTTTTACTGTTCAATAAAACAACTTGTATAGAAACTAAAAAACGTATATTGTTTTATTTTTATTGATACATTGTATTCTTTATAATCTCATTATGACTGTAGAAATACAAAACAAGCAGTAACTGATTAAATTATTATAATTTTGAATATTTTAATAATAAAATATGAGATGTGGCAGTCTTGCATCACGGAATGGAGTATGTTTTAGTCAGACGTAACTTAAACCGACGATTGCTACATACAAAACTGCAATAAAGTTTCGTTGTACATCAGAATAGATTGTCAAAAAATACTAATTTTTTCACAAAAAGTGAAGTAATTGTAAACGTAATATTAATTATAAAAGTATGAAAGTATAAAAATTGATTGATAAAAATTAGTATTATAGAATTATTAGAAATAATTAATTATGCCCAATTCATCTATGTTTTATCTACAGTTCAAGCTTTAAGAATTCAAGCTGTAATAAAAATAATGGTAGCTCTATGGTATGCCATTGGATTCACAGAGGGAAAATAAATCTTTTTTTTTCAGCAGAAATTTTTAGTGGAGTAACAAAAACTTTTTTTAGTACAAGATTTGAACCACGTGTAGTACGCCGAATAACTACTGTTTTAAAGGACTCGTTTTCATCATACGTATACTTATATTAAAAACTAGTAGACTGTTTCTTTGTAACACGCAATATTTTTATATCGTTCCATCTAACTTTATTACCACAGAAGTCAACATTATAATTAGTTCCATATTGTTGGGATAGATCTTTTAAGTGTACAATATCTGCTGTTTCCATCTCCGTAACAGAATATGATTGCCCAATTTTTTTACCGTTTGAATTACAGTTACCCACTTTGCAGGAATGTATATGGGTCCAGATTTTAGGGTTCTTTTCTTTTGTTTTTCTACAACGTAGTGCATGCTGTCTCCTTCATTCTGTCCATGTCCTACAGCGAAATATTTGTGGGTAATAGATGGTATATCATACTTTGCTACACAAAATATATACAAAGCTAATATCAATCTGTTCTTATTCTGACTGATACAGTGATCCGAATAGAACACAACATCTTGACCACGACTGTGTTCTGATAGAAACTTCATCACAGAACTTCCAATTTCGTTAGATCCTCTATGTGCCACTGACTCACTCCAAAAATAGCAATAGCCGCTCATTAAATATTGTAAAATTATAAGAAGATAATCGACGTTTATAATAACGAATTGAAATTTCACCAACAGGAGATGGCAAAACAACTTGAAGGTCATAACAAGCCATAAGGACTTTAGCCTGTTTAGCTTCTAAAGCATATTTTTCCTTTTTTTTTTCGAGAATCATTTTTTAATTTTATATGCTGCTTATAATTTGCTTTCAAGTCATCTTTACATTCTGCGTTTTTGTAGACTGTGCAGATCGAGCACTGATCTTTTTTGGCACGAAAAAAAACTGATATTAAATTCCGTATTAAAAATTTTCGTATATAAATGTATATTTGCTACCTCTCTACCCTCCTTTTCACATCTCTCGCTGTACAATTTATGCATTAATGCCAGGTTTAGCCCTTCATGGATATATTCCCGTGACGTTTGGGACCTCAAATAGTGAGACTCTATCCTAGGGATACTATTAATATGATCAAGTATATCATTTTTAATTTCTGCTGCAACTGTTTTGTGATTTTGATGTTTCCCTCTGAAATCGTATTCAATTATAGAACTTTAATATTTATCTCTAACACTACGAATGAACCTGTCGCCTATGTCAAATGTGCTCATAAACATTTTTTTTGCCGATTCTAATTTTTACACTATTAACAGTAACATAATAAGCTAAGTTTAATTGTCTTGGTGTACTACAAGCTGAAGATCGATACTTCGGTTCAATTGAAACCATATAGTCTTGCAAATAATACCTTTGTTGTGTTACATCTCTAATTTATCTCTACACTTCATAGAACATTTGTTATTACATGGTGGTTTCAGAGAACGTGCAGGAACATTCTTACCTTTTGCGTTAGTATATTCCTTGCCTGTATTTCAAAGTCTTTTTCTAATATTTCGTCAAACAGACAAAGCCAAAAGCTTGTGGATGATAGGATGGCATTGAGTGAAAAATAAAAGTATGAACTTATCTGTCTTAACTTGTTCTGATTCCTCTGGTAACAAATTTGTGATTAACAATTCCTGTTCTGATGTGACAGGTTCCAATGTCTGACTAGCATTTGCTTGACTGTCTGAATCAGTATCTGATAACTCCCTTTCTGATTCTAAAGCAGGGTTATCCAACTGGCGGCCCGCGGGCCGCATCCGGCCCGCGAGACTATTTGTTGTGACCCACGTAAGATTTTCGAAAAGCATATATTTTCTTTAAATGCTGCCACTGTGAAAAAAGATTTTTTAATTTATTTTATATTTTATGGTTTTGCAGTGTTTTTACATCACAAGTACTGTACCGCGTGCCGCGTCGCGGACGTGTAACGAACACAATCGTTCTCCACCACTATGAGAATTGCACTGATTACTGCGCATCACAGTTCACGCAGGCCACACCTCTCACCGCTTACCATCCATCGCCAGCCGCCATCGTGCCAGTGTGCTACTGACACGTAGCCTAGTCGGCTAATCTATTACGTTGCTAGTGAACAGTGAACTTGATTAATTTTTTGTCTTGATTCCTTTTATACAATAATGAGTGTAAAACTAGTAAAACGGAAAATTGATAGTGAGAACAGAATTTACAAAGAAAGTTGAGAGAGTGATTACTTGATTGCTAACAATAATGGAAAGTTGCAGTGCTTAGTGTGCATGAATGTCGTTTCAGTGCCTAAAGAATATAATGTGAGAGGAAATTACACAACAGTGCATGCAAATAAGTATGCTATGTACACAAATGAAAGTCGGCGTGCTCTAGTTGCAGATTTGAAGAAAAAGCTTAAACAGCAAACTGGTATGTTCAGTAAAAAAATTACAGTCTTAAACGCATTCTTTGCATGGATCTTATGTTGTGTCACTTGAGCTGACAAAGGCAAAAAAAACCTTTCACTGATGGCAATTTGATAAAAAAATCTGCTGTTGAAATGGCCAAAGCTTTCGGTGATAATATAGCGGAGAAATTTGAATCAGTGCCACATTCACATCAAACCATACAAAAAAGGATTGCTATGGGTGAGCAAGTAGAAAAATCTATGCTTAGCCTGGTTAAGAAAAGGTCATATTTCTCACTTTGTTTGGATCAAAGCACTGATCAAACCGATGTTAGTCAGCTGTTAATATTTGTGCGCACTACTTTTGATGATTTTACCAGTAAAGAGGAGTTATTTGATATTTGTCCTCTTTATGGAACAACAAAAGGAAAAGACATCTATGAGGCTGTGAAGAAAACAGTTGACAGAATTGAACGCTTTGATAAATGTTCAGCCATAGCAACAGTCGGGCCCCATCAATGACAGGTAAAAAATTGGATTAGTGGGTCTGCTTCGAGAGAATGGTGTCATTTGCCTAATAATTCATTGTATTATACATTAGGGAGCTTTGTGTGGAAAATCAGTCAAGGAAAATGAAGTTTTCCAAACCGTGATTAAGATTATATTATATATATATATATATATATATATATATATATATATATATATAATATATATATATATAATCTTTTTATATATTTAATCTTTTACAAAGGCAACTTAAGCAGTTTTTAGTGGAAACAGAGGCTGTGTATGGAGACTTGCTAATGTACAACCATGTAAGGTGGCTGAGTGCAGGAAAGTGCATGGAACGATTTTTTGACATAAGAAAGGAAATCCCTGCATTCCTCAACAAATACGTTTCATCTGACACAACTGAACTGGAAGAGAAGTTTAGGGATCCAGCATTCTTAAGACGGTTAGCTTTTATAACAGATCTGACTAATCATATTAACATGTTAAACTTGAGTCTTCAAGGAAGAAACCAGACGGTTTCAGATTTGATCGGAATGATAAACGGATTCCGGAATAAGCTGAACGTGTTTAAACGTGCTTTGGAAAAGAACAACCTGACACACTTCCCTAGCTGTCTGCAAATAGTAGAAGAATTCAACGGTGAGAAAAATATTGAGATTTCATCTTGCATTTCACAAATTGAACAAGTTATTGATGAATTCAATACAAGATTTGAAGAAATTGAAAGTCTCAAAAGCAATGTACTGCTTTATAATAACCCTCTTGGAGCAACCATTTATAATGAACCACATAACTTACAGCTTGAGTTATGTGATCTTCAAGTAGACATGTTCCTAATCACCAGACAAGAAAAGGGACCTGAATTTTTCAAATTACTGTCAAAGGAGAAATTCCCAAACCTGCGAGATTTTGGACTGAAAATGACGTCAATGTTCGGAAGCACATATACATGTGAAAGTGCCTTTTCCTTCATGAAATACATAAAAAATAAAAACAGAAGCAACCTTACCGATTCTTCCTTGCTTCATCTTATGAGAGTGTTTACAACTGAACTGGAGATGGACATTTTTTCATTGGTGGATGAAGCCGATCGACCACAGTCCTCACACTAATTGAATACATCTTTTTCGTTGATTTTGCAATGGTTGTCTTGATTATTGAAAACTGTTATCAATAAATTTTCCGTTTATAAAAAAATGTAGTTGTTGAGCAATAGAAGAAATAATACTCTTTTTTGTTTTAATTATTTTTATACCTTACTTTATTTTGTTATTACTTGTAATAAAAATTATTATATGCCCGCGACAAATCAAAGGTTTTAGTTTTGGCTCTTGAGGCATTGCAAGTTGGACACCCTTGTTCTAAAGGTTCCAACGTACAATCAACATGTAGATCACCAATCACTTGAAGATCAGACTCAGTTTGTGCTCACTTTAGTTCCGGTGATAATATAGGTTTCCATAACATCTCAGCGTATGTCTCAACTGCATTGCTATCTGGGATATCTCTGTCGTTCGATGCAAAAATAGGCACCCCCAATTCTGTTTCTGTTTTGATTCCTATATCTGAATCCATACAATTTTAATAAGAGAAGGGACAATCTTGAATTACATCTTATAATACCTTAGAGCTATTATCAATATTTTCTATGACCACATCCTGCAAACCAGAAATGAATAAGAATTAATAACACAATTAATAACACAAACGCGTTTCAAATAATTGATACCTGGTTAGCGTAAAACACCTTACAAACAGGTAATTTACAAATAATGGCAGGTAGTAAAAAATTTTTAAAATTTTTGTTGGGTTAGAAACACTTACATACCTCTACACTATTATTAAGGTTCCTACTTTCATCAGTTTCTTGTAAAACCACATTATTCTTCCTCTTGAATATCAACTCATTTTTTATCTAAAATCACTGTACTTTACTAAACAACGGTTATAAAACACTGAAAAACACTAAAATAAAGTACACATGCACGCTAAAAAAACGGAAATGAGACTGAATACAATCCAAACGACTGATGCAATACCGCCCATAAGTAAAATGTGGCGGTATTGTAGTCGACTAGTAGACTGATATCTGCTTATATCTACTAATATCTACTTCCCTAACCAACCCTTTCACTTCCAATAAGTGATTTGGTATATGTGTTTTTAAATTATGTTCTTTTAATGACTTATTATTAACTAATTTATTAGCATCTAAACGACAATTTACTAAAATCTTTACGCGATTTCGACCAATACTCTTAATTTCTGGTATATTACTAAGTTTTAATATCTTAAACAGTATATGTCCTATAGTCATGGGGTGCGGTCTACCCAAGTTTTCTTCACCGGTTTTTTCAAGATATACCCATTGTTTAGTTTATTGTCTATTGTCGTTTTATTAATATAGGCAAAATGAAAAACTAGGTGGACTGTAAAACACTGGCTTTATTTTAACTAACAAAACGCTGTTCAAACTAAAACACTATCGTCTTTTGTAAAATGAAACTAATGAACGAATTTATTGTTTACTAAACTGCGAGAGCTGCTTGCTTGTTGATGTCTCGTTGATGTCTTGATTGATATTGTCTGTTAGGGAGAGCGCCCACCAAAGTGGCGTGGCAGTGGCAAGTAGCAAGTAGCACGCGTCTACCAATGAAAACGAATGATTCAGTTTACACCAAAATGACAGTAACGTCATTCATTCTAATCATTCGTTAGGATTGGTTACATTATGCTAGACGCGTGCTACTTGCTACTTGCCACTGCCACGCCACTTTGGTGGGCGCTCTCCCTTAGGTGCGCGCACTCCTGGCTGAAGTCACGCACACTGTTGCCGGTTGTATTAAAAGTCTAAAATAATTGTTTGCGGCGCAAACACCCATATTATTATTCAGTTCAATTAATATTATTCAAATTGTACTTATCTGACAGAAAATTAAAATGCTTTCCATCTTCGAGGGCCGCAAACAATCTTTTTGCTGAGTTGTTTCATCATCAATTTTCAATCCACTGTTCTCACTAATCACATCCATATCTATTTCTTTCGTCGAAGAGGACGTTTTTAGATTTTTATCAATACCCAACGGGGATTGCATTTCTTTAAAGACACAATTTAGGTATATATAAAAATACACCACAACACAAGTAAAAAACTAGAAACTAATTAGCAGGCTGTTGAACCGAAAACGATTAGTATGAATGTCCTTATCATTTGAAGGTAAAATCGGTACTCGTGATACGTTTGAATGCAGAATTTGATTCTGATTATATTGAAATCAATAAAGTACTAAGTTTAGACAGGTTTTTTATAACATCATTATTCATTGCAATTGTTTTAGGATATACACAGTGACTGTGTAAGTATTAGTAAACAATGAATGGTTTAAGGGCAGTCAAAGTCCGAAAATTTAATGTCTTGTTTTTTTTTTAATTATGGTTGAAAATTATTTTCTAAAATCTTCTCTTTCCAACGATATATCACACATTATAGTAGAAAATACCAATGGTTATAAAATTATTTGTTTTTTGAACCTCTTTACTCAACTTCTGAACTGGTCAATGGCGTAACCAGAATGACCCTTAAGGTGGGTCAAATATCTCTGTATCCTTAGACGATAAAAGATCCAAATTTTACAGTGGTCGTAGATAGATAATATCAAATTCCTGGTAAAATTTGATTGAAACATGTACAAAAACAAGTAAAATAAAAATAAAATCTAAACTTTTTTGAGTTTTTTTTTTGTATTTTTAAATAAATGATTTTTACTCTTTACAAAAATCTACGCAGAACTAAACAATACATCTAGTTTCAAAATAAAAAAATTAATTAGATCTCTAATTGCTTTGGTTACAGGGATATGTGATATAATGTTAACATTGTTGTTAAATGTGAGTTCGGATGCCCTTAAATTTTGTGCCTACACCCATCAAATTTAATTCTTTTCAGAAGAGCATGTGACTTTGGACTCTCTATTGATTCAACTGAAGGAAAAAAACTGTTTAGTGGATGTCGTGCGTCACTGAGTACTGTACTGAATGACATTGGTTTTAAATGGCTCAAAGATGATCCAAGACGAGGACTGATGGAACAGTCTCATATTGCTGTGAAGAGAGCTGAATTTTTGAGACTATATCAAAATTATAAACATGAAGGACTATATAAGTTTGTTTTTATAGATGAAACTTGGATTTTTCAGAATGGATCTATGTCGCTCTTGGCAAGATGACAATAAAAGAAGTGTACGATCTATTAAAACTAATGGAAAATGGTAATAATATTTAATCATATTAAAAAAGTAAAGGTGTTAAAATAATTCTTTTTGTAGTTACATTATTCTTCATGCTAGTAATGAAAAATGGCTTCATTGAGGGTGCAGAGGCTATATTTTCCTCTAAATCGGCTTTAATGGACTATCATGGGGAAATGAATCAAGAAATTTTTTTTATTGTGGTTTGAAAATCAATTATTAAAAAGTTTGATTGAACCATCCCTAATTATAGTGGATAATGCTCCATACCATAACATGTTGTTGGAAAAAGCACCAAACACATCTTCAACTAAGAGTGACATAAAAGTTTGGTTAACTAATAATACACTACCTTTTAATGAGACAATGTTGAGAAACAAGCTTTTGACAGAATAATTACGATGACCCTGACAATACCCAAGATCTTCCCAAGAAGAAAATTTTCACGACACCTCATTGCAAGAGCAACCTCAATTGATTTAAATAATATCAAGAACCACCCAAGACTTCCATTCTTTATATTACCCGAAAGTAAACTAAAAAATCGTTATCGATACTGGTGGATCTGACACCATTATCTCTCCCAAAGCTTCAAAGTTATTTAATCCTCATCACATTTACAAAAAAGACTTCACACTTACATCAATGAAAAAAACGACCAAATATTCAGACAATATCAAAACTCCCCTATTTAAAGAATTAAATATACCCGATTTTATCGATGCAGGCATCGCTGACTGGAGTAAAGACTTCGACATT